GGTCGGGAGAAGGAAAAAAAAAAAAAAAAAAAGAAAAAGGAAACCTGCTCGTTCCCCGAGGGGATAATTTGAAGAGAGAAGAAAAGTCAGTGAGGCGTTCAGAGAGCTCCGAGTTGTCTCCTCACCGTGAGGCCTTCTGGCTACGAGGAGAAAAAAGAAACACCTGCAGGTTACCTGTAACCTGCAGGTAACCGGTGGACGGCCGGGTCGGAGGTCAACCGATCGGGACATTAACTCCGATTACGAGCACAATTCCCCCCTTAGGCGAGCGATTTCCAGATATTCAGTCCCCGATGATGATTATGATGATGGGCATCCATCAGCACCCTGTCTGATCACTGTCCCTTTTTTTCTCCCTCGGGACTTCCGTGACACCTCCCATCCAGCGCATTTTCAAAACGAACCCAATTCGATAAATCGGGTGACCCATTTAAACTTCGTTTCGGGCAGAATCGGTTTCGCTCGGACCGATCTCGTTTCGTAACGGACTCCGGAATTCTTTTAGCCGGATCGGTGAGATTCCCATAGGACTTTCGAAATCACCTGCAGGTGAAGTGCAGCTGCGAGCACGAGAAACCCTCCGGAATCGAATCTCGACTCGAATCTCGACTCGAAACGCAGGCATTCTTAATGGAAACAGCGGCAGCTGCGGGTCTTTCCCCGCGGACCCCGCCCGATGTCGGAGCCGATAGTCTAATGAAGGAAGTGGGTTTTTTCACAGTTCCGAAACGGACTGCGATAAGGGGGGGAGGCGTCCCTCCGGGAACCGGATGGAGGACATGGATGAGAAGCACCACGAGAATGGATGCGAAGCACCATAAGAATGCATTCAGCATAACGCATAAGCGCTGGCAGGTGTCGAGGCGGAGGGAATCTTCTCCTTTTTCCCGCTTGGGAGGCTTTGAATAAAGTGTGGCTTTTATGCCTCCTTGCCTCCGAAGAGATAACATCCGACGTCGCATGCCACCACCCTGGTCCAAATCTACCTCCCGGTTTCCATCGGGTCTTGAGCTCGGTTTGAGAGCTGCAGCTCCTACAATCTTCCTTGCATGCTCCTACAATATTCCCATAAAGCTCCTACAATGTTCCTAGCATGCTCCTACAATTCTCCTATGAAGCTCCTACAATGTTCCTAGCATGATCCAACAGTTCTCCTATAAACCTCCTACAATGCTCCTATCGTGCTCCTATCATGCTCCTATCGTGCTCCTACAATGCCTTCATTATGCTTCTATCATGTTCCCATCGTGATTCTACAATGTTTCTGTCATGCTCCTAAAATGCTTCCATATATAGCGTGCACCCCTCCCCTATGACCTCTCGTGAAAACAGTTATCGGATTGTCCTTGATGCGGGATGCTCTAGACCTCAATCCGATCGCATTACGAGATTACGGCCGTAATCCACTCATTAAGCCTACGGGGCTGCGTCCTTCGCTCGTTAGAGTTGGCTGGCGTAAAAAAAAAAAAAAATAAAATAAAAAAAAAACAAAAATGTTCGAGCATGCTGGGAGCGGTACACGAAAACAAAATAAATCCGATGAAACGAGCGGTAATCACGGTGAAATCTGCAGCGAAGATGTTGGCAAACAAGCGAAGACTTCCTGGCTCGGTGGATTGTGGCTTCTGCGCGTAATGAACTCTTCATTAGCGCGATTCATGCATTCGTTCGCGGACGGCATTTTGCATCTGATGACTGTTTTTACGCCGCGGGGACTCCATGATTATTTTTTTCGACCTTGCGGCCACGCGATGACTTCTCTTCTGGCTTCCCGCGTTTTTCGGCGCCGGCACTTCCCAGATAAATCGTCGGAATCGGCTAAATAATTTATTATCATTTAATTCTAGCAGGACATTTCACCAACGAAGCAGCCAAACTCCGGGATTCTTGGGTCGCCCGCATATCCGAATATCCGTCCATCGGGGGCATGCGAAGACAAGTGGCATCTCGGGACAAGTGGCATCCCGGGACAAGTGGCACGTGAGGGCCTCACGCTGCGCCGGGACGTGTGCATGCTATCTGCGACAACCATCGAAATCCCCCCGAAAGCCCCCCCACCGGATTAGATTTTATAGGTCATTACTTCCCCCTCGTCGGTCGCAGATGGGATGAGCCACTGCAGCGATGAGCCACTGCAGCGATGAGCCACCGCAGCGATGAGCCACTGCGGCGATGAGCCGAACGCACCTGTGGTGTCTCGTTTCGCAGATTCCTCGTTCGATCGAGACGACATTGACCTCGAGGGTGACATAATAGCGCCGAGATATCATCTCGACCGAGGGGGATAAAAGGGAGCCGAAGCGCCACGAAACGCTAATGAATCTCCGCGGCCGATGGTTATCTGACGATAACGCACACACATTCTCCGAAACCACGCGACAAATGTATACACCCCAGGCTCGTTATAACAATTACCTTGTTACCCGGCTCGGCAACGAGAGGAGAGGGAAGGACGGGGAACCCACAACAGGAGGGGAATGGATTTTTTTCTCTTTCTTTTCCTCCTCGCACTTGGCAGCATCTACGGGAGAGAAGAGAAGGGAGAGAGAGCAGGCTGGAGCCATTTCTCCGCCTTCTCGGTCGCACTGTCTGACGGGGGTGTAACCAGACGATAAACGATCGGGAGGGCGGGAGCCAATCCGAGGCGCGCGGCCCCGTGACGTCACGGGGGGCGGACCAATGGGATCGCGGGACGGCGGGAGCCATGGGGTAGGACGGATCAGACATCACGAGCTTATGATGAACATGGAAAAACGGGCCCATCAGTGTGCTCTCGGGCAGCGAGTGACCAACCCGTCTCGACGGATCCGAACGCGATCAGTGCGTGTCGTTTTTCCTCATCGTTCCGGTCGGTTCCCACGAAATCCGTCACCACGCTGAATTTCACGGATCTCACCGCCGGGCCTTATGCCCCCGCGTCCATGAGCGCCGCGGATGCATTGGACCCGGAAAAATCGGCGTTCATGGAGCTGCAGGGCCAGGGACTGGCCATGGCCCACCCGTACCACCGGGGACCGTACCAGCAGCCGGTCGTGTCGCAGCACGAGTCCATGCTGGGACATCAGTCCCGGCCCCACCTGGCCCCTTACCCCTTCGCCACCATGAACACCACGGTTCACAACTCCTACCCGGGGTATCACCTCGGCACCTACGCCAACGTCACCCAGTGCCCGTCGCCTCCGAGAGACGGTGAGTTCCAAGAAAGAATATCTTTTTTCCGCGGCGTTTCCGACGATTCGGGGGCGGAATCGGGGCGACGGGGAACTCGCGCCGAGATGTGCCGCGACCACGTGTTGGTAATTGCGTCAATTAGGTAAATTATTCAATTCTATGGGGTCTACGTAATTACGATAATTGGGTGGTGATGAGAGGAAGAGAGTGCCTGAATGGGGGATGCGAGCCATCGTTGAGGGATGCGAGCCAACATTGTGGGATGCGAGCCGTCGGCGGGGTCGCACGTCCGAGTGCGTACCCGCGAGGATTACACGCCGGTTCACGGTCCGTGAATGCACGCAGATCCCGAGATGGATCGTTTCGTTTCTGCGACGATCGCGGAGAAGTGCGATTGCGGATCGCGGGGCTCCGACCGTCGGCGGTTCGCAGTCATCGCGACCGTTCGCCGCGATCGTCGGTGTATTTTCGTCATCTGTCGGTCGAACGGTCCGAGTTCCCATCGACGATGCCGCAATCGCCTTTTCGAATGTCACACACCGTGTTGCGTATCTTTCGCACGTTTACTTGCGTTGGGAATGTCACGCGCAAGATTCTTATCGGATCGCGATGCGTTTGCCTTCGCGCGGGTGAATGGAATCGCGACCGTTTGGCCCTGGCGATTGCAGCCAATAGGTGTCGCGATGTTCATTCCAAATATGCAAACCACATGGTGTTGCGATAGCATCTCGCGATTTTCCGAAGTCCATGGGAACGAATTCGGAATGGTAACGAAGTACCCGATTGCGAAGTTTTCCGATCCCCGCGCGATTTCTTCAGGTTCCACCAGATTCCCGCGCGATGTCTTCATATTTCTCCAGATCCCCGCGCGATGTCTTCAGATTTCTCCGGATCCCCGCGCGATTCCTTTCGACTCTTTCGGATTCCCGCGCGATCTCTTCGGACTCCCCCCCCCCGCCCCTCTTCACTCCGGGCGCTTCGCCCCTCCGCCCCGCAAAAAGGGTTATCGGACGGGTCCGTAAAACGGGAAGCGGGATCGGGAGGCAAGCGCTGAAAAGGGAGGGCATAGGTGTTGTCGAGACCCCACGCTGGGCCTCCCGGGGCGAAGACGCGCGGTGTCAATGGATGAAATATCTCTTTCCCCCGCTGCTGCCTAGTCCATGCCTATTAACACCCCCCCCCCCTCCCCCTCCCCCCCCCATCGTTACATCTGTATCGCTCCCTCGTTAAGGCCTTCGGAATTCATTAGATGCAATGTTGAGAAATGACCCGCTGCGCTCGTGTGGGTCTCGGCTTCCGCCGGGGCGCTCTCGCTCGGAACCGCCGCCACCGATAAGCTAACTGATGAGCTAACCGATGAGCAAACCGATAAGTCGCGTGTTCGCCCGACGATCCCGCGAAAATCGGAGAACGATTCGGCTCGGACCGTTCGCATGGTTGCCTTCTGAGGTCGTTTTCGGTTTCACTCCTGCATTTTTAAACCCGTATGTTTAATGAAGTTTCTTCGTGCATTCGGCCGCTTCATTATTCATCGGTAAACGTTTCTAATGAAAATTTACTCACAGTGCGCTCGAGAACGAGGAACGGGGGATTCGGATTATCATTATCGTTGCATTAAGGCTCCGAAAATCCTCTCGTATCCGTCTGCGGCGAATTTCACACGCCTACCGATAATTTATACTGCCGGTTGCGACGCAAAAAAAGATTCATAAATACGAGGCGGACACGGGACAAAAGCCGTTCGTGCCACGGAGGAGGAGTGTCCGTGAGGAATGATGGGTCCGTGAGGAATGATGGATCAAAGTCATCTCCTCGCACACGGAGAGACCTTGAGATGACGAAAAACTTCTATGGAATCCTTCTTTTTTTTCTTTCTCCTCCGAAGGGCGGAAGTGGGGAGGAGACGCCGTGTGCGTGGTTGAGTGCGTGTTCTTCATATCGAAGGATATACGTGTTTCCGCTTCAAGGGGGTTTCCAAGGCCACTAGATCCCTAGATGTATCTCACGGTGGATGAGGAAAAAAATTTCCATCGGTGCTGCCCGCTGTCTTGGAGAGGGGGGGGGGGTTTAGGAGACGGCAGATGTTGGAAGGGGGATTAACCGAGTCGATTTTTTAACATCTATTTTCGTTGCGAAATTCTGTGGGTCCGGTCGAGTGTGTCTCATGCACACATGAGTGTGTCTCATGAGGTTGGCACGGTCGGATGAAAGGCCGAAGGATTTTCCTGGCACGATTCCTGACACGTGAAGGTCATTTTGCCTGGGTCGTAGAAAAATTTCTGGGTCGGAGAAAACGACGGAGCCGCGAAGCGACCGCGGGGTTAGGATCGACCGGAGGGTTTCTCAGTCGGTTAGTGGGATCGGTAATGGGCAGGTGATCTCTGGGCATATCGGGTCAAGTTCAGGGCCGTCGTATCGAGTTGTCAACAGGGTATCTCGGCGTAATGCGATGGGAGGACTTAATCATATTGATTACCGGAGGTAATGGTTGCGGTTTTTCCAGTAAATCCTGTAATCATCCCCATTAGATTGATTGCAGCCCGGGCTGCAATCTCTCTCTCTCATCCCCTTGTGTGCGTATGAGTTTCTCGTTATATCAGCTGGGATTCGCTTTCGTGCGTAACGCGGATGAAGCACGGCTTCCTGTCACAAATCAAAGCATCCTTGATGAGAGACGACTTCTTCTCATTTCGCGCCAGCCATCAAAAGATACGATTATTAACTCCCTCGTCGTTTAAGAACGCTTCGGGTAAATTGCCCGGAAAAAGGCTTCAAGCCGATCGCGAACGACTTAACGCGACTTAACTTTTGGCACAGTTTGCACGGAATCCCATCAGGAGACTCCACGCAAGCTGCCTCAAACTTCATCGCGATATCATTACACGACTCCATTCGGCAGAAAATAATATCGGCCGCTCATTCAATAAGCAAACGAAAACTTTCGAACATTTAAGATTTTGCTCACGCACGTCCCAAAACTAAAATAAAATAAAAACTGGTATCGTGACCAGGCAGCCAGGCAATTGCACTGATATTCCTCATCTCGGAGCAGAGAAGGAGAGCGTGGAGGGAAGCCTCCGGGTGAACGGGAAGGGAAAGAAGATGAGGAAGCCCCGCACCATCTACTCCAGCCTTCAACTCCAGCAGCTCAACCGGAGATTCCAAAGAACTCAGTACCTTGCCTTGCCCGAGAGGGCCGAACTCGCCGCCAGTCTCGGGCTCACCCAAACCCAGGTACGTCCGAACGTTACCATTATTATTATTATTATTATTATTATACCGTATGTTGATAGGATCTTTCAGGTCGAATTGCGAATGGTTTGGCGCGTATTTAAATCGCGTTACGGGAGAATTAGAGTTTTCCGATCGCGAAACCTTTCCGATGCGCCAGACGGGACGAGAACGTTCCGTTCTCGTCGTTCCGTTCCCGGTCGCATTAGCTCGGGAAACACCTCCCGAGTGATTCCGGGGAATGGCCCTCTCAAAGCCCCATTGTCCGCCGGCCCTCACGGGAGCAAATGGACCTCGAATGGCGGCATGAATAATCGGTGGAGGAAAATGCTCGACCGGACATCGATACGGCCGTAAATGGCTCGCTGGATCGATGTCGCGTCACCGTATCGTGTCGACACGACGTGTCGGCATGTCGTATCGCAACGGAGCGATGCCTCCGCCTCGCCGATCCGCCGATAAGCAAATTAGGCCAATTAACGGTGGGAGATCGTTAAAAAGTGGTTAATCTCTTTCCTCTCGTCACCGCCGGCATTTTTCATCGTCGGCATTTGCCATCGTCGGCATTTGCCACCCCTCGCTTTTCGCTCCCGTTCGCAATTAGTTTCGATACGACTCTGACAATATTGACAGACTCGGAGAACGCGGAGACACCGTCTGTGCAAACACGCAAATTTGCAAACACGCGAACGTGCAAATACGGGGGAACCGGATCCCCGTCGCGTGTCCTCACCCGCATGCAAAAAAAAAAAATACGTCCTAACATTTCGTCCTAATACGTCCTAACATTTCGTCCTAATGCGTCCTAACAACCCCATTACGCCGACCCAACCCGCGCGGACGTCGAAAACGCGTCCATCCCTTATTCAGCGACTGAAACTTTCATCGCCGCGAAATTACCCCGATGAAGCCAGGTGAAACTTTGATTCCCCGGGTGGCCTTGCAGGTGGAACGAAAACTCAAATTACCCTGAAAATTTTCCTCGCGTTTCGCAAAATATTCACCAGGCCTTGGAATAAATAATTAAATAGCCAAGAGCCGATGCATATTAATTTCTTCATTTATTTATTTACGCATTTATTTACTCGTCGAAGAGAGCCGGATTTATGAGGCACCATGGCATGCCGTGCCATGGCATGCCGTGCCGTCTCGGCACAAAAGAGATCCTGTTTCGAGTACTGACTAAGTACCACGTCGGTACGAAGAAGCCCTCGGTGGGAATAATCGAGGAAGGCTGATGCACTCTTAATGACGGCCTCGAGGGCGAATCCACTCGATATCAGCCCGAACCTTTTAACCCTGCCAAAAAAAAGGAAGAAAAAAAAAAAAAAGGTTATGACGGATACCCCTTGTCGGACCAGGCTCCCCCGGCTCGTAAATCCACGCAAGGGGGGATTATTTATAAAAACAGAGGGAAACTCTCTTCATGAATGCAAAGGATAATCTATGAAGAGCCTTCTTTCTTTCTCTGCCGTTTCGTGTCCGGAATGCAGATGAACGGTAGCCGCACTCCATGCATCTGCGTATGGGAAACCAGACCGTGCGTGAAGGACTTGGCGGCTGGCGTGTGTGCGAGGGGGCAGGTTCTGGCGCTTAACCGCGCGGTTTCGCGAGGGGTTGCTTCCGTTCGAGAATTTAGGGGGGTTTTTATAAGAGGGGACCTTAGGGAATCGGGGGTCTCGAAGAAACCCGGAGACGGGCGAAGGAAGGAAATTGGAAAATTTCTTGCCGTGGTCTTGACCAGAGTTCGGTCAAGCGCGGGAAAACTCGGAACCGGGATCGGGGGAGACGTGATGAAATGCGCCGGTGCGGAGTGTCCCTGCCTTTTCGCCTCATCATTTTAATTCAACTACGATTTCCCTCGTGACGAAAGAGAGAAAGAGTCTGAAAAGCGCATATGCGGCCGTGGCGTCATATTCCCACGTCCGACGAAGGAGCACCTGCGAAACAAAGCGCGTCTAAGCATGGAAGGGGAAAAAAAAAAAAATCTTGTGCTCCGTTTCCTGCAGGGAGATAATGAAGGGGAAGCCACGGGGTACAGGCTCGCTCCCATGCACAAAAGAGAGAAGAGAATTTCATTCATTTTTTATTATGGAGGGCTACCGGAGGGTCACCTTGCCTCCCTCCCGGGCACCCATCGGCTAATTAACGGAAGTCAACCCCCTGGGATAATTGCATCGGTGTCGATTGATTATCCCGGTTTGATGATCCTTATGGTCCCACCTGTTCCTTGCGAATTCCTCCGATTTTTTCCCATCCAGTTTCGGCGATAAATCGCTTTTATCTTCGAAATGCCATTACGGCGAGCATATAATTAAAAGCCGAGTACTCTCGCATCTGCTATGACTGGGTGATTTCGTTTCGACGGGTGATACCTGCACTTCGCCGATATCGGCTCGACGATATCGGCTGATGGCTGATGCTGATGATGACTGATGCGATTCGGTAGTAATTTTTCTCGGCCGAGTTCAACTGGGAAAAAAAAAAAAAAGCAAGTGGGGGGGGGAAAGGACGAAAAAACACATGGTCAATACTAAAAGGGCCCACCTGTTGTTCTCGGAGATGGCAACAAATATCCCCCCGAGGGTGTTGCTCACCTGTTGTCCTGTGCCTAAAAAAAAAAAGGAGGGAAAAAGGGGCCAAGGGATATTCAGGATTATCCTCGTCCAGGAGGTTCTCCGTTCCGATAACATGTGATAAGTTGATAACGGGAGACAGGACCAGGTTTCTGTCCGGATTTATCTCCATTCCAGGAATAGGGTATTTTTTTGCAAAAAAAAAGGAAGGTAGAAGGCGGTGGCACGGTGTTTTTTTGGCGGTAATTTGCCATATGTGATGTGTGGGGGGGATCGGGATTACGGGAGACTTGCCCCGTTTTCGGCATTTCAAGCGTCATTAGGCTTCACGTGGCACATGGCTGATGAAAACATCAAGAGGGTAAAAGAGGGATCCACAAATAATGATGGCAGTCGGTGACGTCATCCATTCATCCCCGGAGTCTCATTTGATGAGCCGTAATTGATTCGGTTGTAAGGGGGGGGGGGGGGGCAGGCTAACAANGGGGGGGGGGGGGGGGGGGGGGGGGGGGGGGGGGGGGGGGGGGGGGGGGGGGGGGGGGGGCAGGCTAACAACCGAAAAGGGGAAAAAAAGCCCTCAGTGTAATCTGTCGACACAGAAAGAAAAGAAAAAAAAAAGAAAGAAAGAGCACGGGCCAATAATCGGATAATTGGATCGTTAACTACCTTCCTCTGGGGCTTGGTTTCATTCTCTCCTGTCACAACAGCTAAAGGTCTTTTCAGCGGATTATCTCGCACACGTGGAAGCCACCGGATTCCGTCGATTTTTTTTCCACGGTTGGCTTTTTTTTTTTACGCGACGGAGGTTCATTAACACCGTTCGTTATCGCCGATGGGAGTTGTTATAATGAAAGAAGAGAGTGCGACTGTGTTGCAAAGTCACGGGCGTGTTGGCGCCGAACCTCTTTTGTCCCGTCCCGTGGCGACACACGCACACTGGCAGGCAGCCCCTCCACCATCTCCTCTTTATCGCCCCATCTTCCTTACAAATCTGGTGACAGCTTTTTCTCCTCCTCCTCCTCCTCCCGTTCCCTCGGCTTCCTCATTGTCGTCCTCATTGTCGTCAGGGCCATAAACAGTTCTCGGCGGATCGGTGTCGAGTTTTCCGCTGGTTTTTTTTTTTTTTTTTTTTTTTTTTTTTTTTTTTTGTTTTTTTTTATGTTTTTTTTTTTTTTTTTTTTTTTTTTTTTTTGCGAGCTGCAGCTTCTGTCTGGAGTCTTGTTGTCGTTTCGAATTATTTTCCATTTTGATACATTCGTTCCGCTTCGGGCAGTCAGTTTGTAGTTCCATCTTCCATCATGAATATTCAGGACTTGGGAGTTCATGACTGCATAAACTCGGCCGATCCGTATACTCATTTTCTTTGTTGCCATTGGGAGTTAACGCTTTATGGTGTAGCAGTGTGTACATAGTGTGGCAGAGAAATAAGCTCGAGTTCCCTCGTTACATTATTATATTACTAATTACTATGTTCTTACTGAATAATCTTTCACTAATTACCACTGGTAGATTAATATACGCAGGAGACGTATTTAATCCAAATTCATTTTGCTGATGTGATCATGAGCGACAATGGAGAGAAATTTGAATGTGAAATGAGGAAGCGGTCTCTGGGTTTCAGTCCTTGCTCAGTCCCAGAACAAACGCTGCAAACATTCGAGGAAGTTTAGTGTAAACTCGAATGTTGATGAAACTTCACAATTATAGTGAAGATGTATGTGCCTATTCACAGTTTAAGTTTCGCACAAGATGAACTCCGATTGGAGCGGATCCGTAGGTTACTGTTTGGCCTCGTTGTTGCCATAATAGTTGCCATATTGCCCTAATAGTATCAGAGTTAATATTCGGTTCGAAACGATGTCGTTCTTTCGCCGTTTACTCCTCGAGAGCCGATGGAAACGGTGCGTCGAAAGACGAGCGCACTTGAAGCCATTGGAACGCGGATACCCGAGACGCGAAAGATTATCTTGATCGAGGCTTCCTACCGAGCCCGAGTCTTTCGTGTCGGTTTACTATGTCCCTAAGGTTGAAAGCGGGGAGAGTCGCGGCGGCGCTTCCGAGGCATTCGGGAAAAGTCTCGAGATTTCCATTTCGAAGACTGTGACTCGGTGTGCGAAACAGATGTTTCGATGCCGAACGGCAGGTGTTTATATGCTAAACCGTAGGCAAGCAGGTCCTCTTTGTTTCTCCGGGTAGTCCAGATAAGCTGGCCCTTCCCGGGATTCATGGAGCTGCTTACAAATAGGTGATACACGGAAGACAAAGCAGGTCCTAATGGATGCCGCATTCGAGTAACAGGGACCGAAGCGCTTCGTTCGCAGACGGGTGGAGCCTTTAACGGTACCGAGACGGATGACATGTCCTTTGTAACCTTAGGCCTTCTTTCGAGCATCGGGAGGTGAGAGATCAGGTGAATGTTGGCTGCGATGCCTCCTCACCGGACTCCATTCTCCATTCACCGGACTGCATTCCGGTTCGGTCCGGTTCTTTTTGGACGCTTCGAGGACGGAAAACGGAAGAATGCGCTTTCATCTGAAGTGAATATAGGTGCTTTTTGAAGGGCCGTCTTCTTGCGGAGATAACCTTTCGAAAGGCATACGTGAGATGTATTCCTTATTCAGTGGATTTCCATTCTCCGCCACCTACACCAAATTTCATTCCCGCAATGAAATTATAAACACTCCCAGTCTCTTTATTTTCCGCATCGCATAAACGAAACGGAGAGGCTCGCCATCCGACACGAAAATGAATTAACCCCGCCTCTCACTAAAAACGATTTTACGAGGAGAAATTCGGCTTTCCTCACGGCTTTCCTCACGTGAGCAGCACACGATCCATGCTTTCACTGTCGACACCTTGATGTATGACAGAATCTCATGACTTCTCCCTTGGCAGTGAACGATCGCCGATATATGGTCCGCGGCGGTGTGGGGCTTTCCCAGAGAAATTCTGTGGTATGTCTCAATGGACATACCGCAGAATTTCTATGGGAAAGTACTATAGCTACGGGTACAGGATTTTTCTTCTTAATTTATCAGCCTTGCTCTGGAATCTTATCTCCTTCTTTGGAAATTAATTTCTTTCCAATTTAATATTTTAGCCTCGTAATATGAAAAGTCGGACGACCGCTCCGACTTTAACGGAAAAGAGTGGTGTTTCCGCTTGTAAATTTAAAACTTAAAAGAAATGCATTTCTAAGGAAGTCACGGATGTGAGATTTCTAAAGCGAAGCTGATAAATTTTAGGGCGTCTTTTTCTTTTGTTGCCGCGAAGGAAACGACATAAGTACAGGCTAACAGACAAATCGCGGTTGTTGAGCACTTTAACGGGTAATTCGCTTCTGTTCCCGGTTTCAGTTCTCTTAACTATTTCCGACTTGATGGATCGGAAGGACTCGGCAGTTTTTTCCTTTAAAATTGATGTCGTTCGCCCGGTGGTTCCCGATTGGGTATGACATGGGTCGCCTGCAGTATATAATGAAGACGTCTATTTTTATTTTGTCTTCATCTCGGGAAAGACAAGAGAGGTTAAGGATCCGGGATCGGGTCGGATCGGGTCACGACAGAGATATAAATCGAGGACTCGGGACCGGAACGACGTCATAAATGTCCCCTGCCCTTGTGTCCCGGTCCCGGGGACAAAAGACGGGGCCCAGGACGAGGCGGCATGTCATGCAGGGGCCCCCATAGGGGCATAGAGAGGAAAAATGGGGAGATCTCGTGACGACGCACGGAGAAGGGGGGAGAAGGGGCCAGGCCACGACTTTTCAACAGTCCCGACCTGGAGCCTCCGCTGGTTCGCGTGAGGACATTTATCATCTTCCCCCTTCCTCCCTCCCGGTCGATATATATATGCGGGGAAGGATGTATGTATATATGCATGTAGGGATATACATGTATACACGTCTTTTGCATGACCTCTTGGGGGGAAACCGCGGGAGTTAATGAAGGCTCGGGAGTTGCATGTTGCGAGGCGGTCCCGAGAATCTCCTTCGTTCCTTTCGCTTCTCGCCCCTTTTGCGTTTATCGGCGGGATCGGATCAAAATTTATTATTATTTAATTTATTATTTAATTTATTATTTCCTATTTTTCCTTGATCGTGCTCGGTCGCGCGATAAGGATCGTTACGAGGCGCCGTCGAGATACCGTTGCGATACGCCGAGGAACGTCAAGATGACGAGAAGAAACGAAGGTGGGAGGGAAGGCCAGAGACAGGGGCCAAAGATGGAGGGGCCAAAGATGGAGGGGCCCGAGACGAAGGGGCCAAAAAATGGCTCTCGGTCAACATGCAAACATATCATGACACTCCGCCCGTGTCACCCCTCGAGTTCTACTCGAACACGATCCCATCATCTCGCGACGAGCGTGAATGAAAGCATGAAGGAATGAAAGCATGGAGGAATGAAAGCATGACATCCGTTCAATCGCGTCCCTCGAGGCCGTCAGATCGGACGGGATTGGCCGGTTCATTAATCTATTCATAGCCGATGAGCAGCAGTAATCACAGGTTTACCTTTCTCGAGTAACAAACCGGAGCGGTAAACTCGATCGATAAACTCGCGTGGTATATAAACTGAAATGGTAAACTGAAGTGGTAAACTGAAGCGGTAAACACCTTTGTGTGTGTTATGATGGCTCGGGAAGACAAATCCCGAAAAGGGCTGGCCCCGGCCGGCACGCATTTATTATGGTGCTCCGTATCGGATTCAAAAACAAAGCGTGGTCCGACTCATCCATCATAATGAAGGCAGATAATGTTGTGAAATATCGCCAGAGAGAAAAAAAAAAAAAAAAAAGTGGGGGCCCCCGGGGGG